GGGCTTGTTTCTGCGTGGCACGCAACCATGATATGGCTTATCCCTCCCACAATTATCGACTACTTGTCTACCTTTATTCTTGGTCCGCTGGAGTACTTGTCCTGGTTTCAGTGAGGCCACCAGGCTTGCCTCTGGATCAGCAAAAAAGGAAAGATTTGCATCGTCGATGATGAGGCATTCCCGCATGGAGCCACAGCAGTACTGGGAGCCAGAGCTGTTGCTTTCTGTTATAGTTGAAGACGCTGACGCCTGATTATTGAATAAAAGAAGAATGGCCATCACGACCAAGCTGGCTGCTGTACGTTGGAGAACAGCTCTGTTCAAATTGCTTTCCATATTTCTTCTCATTGTTCTCTCTCACGAGTGTAATTTTCTCACTTGACAAGTAAACGAAATTTCGGGTTCTTATAGGATCGTAGGAAGATCGGAGGTTTAATTTAATTTATATATGATCAATATTTTTCCATTATTTAATAAAAAAAGAATTTTAATTAGTACTTATCCTTTTAGCTCTTACATGGGCTGCGGTGCCAAAACAAGAATGGATCAGACATGACATAAAACCAAAAAAAAAAAAACTAATTAAAGCATGCAACTGTTGGCTAGTTCGGTGGTTCGGCTGATTTTCAATTATTAGTGATGCTTTTAGCTCTACATGGGCTGCGGTCCCAAGACAGCAAAATCAGACATGACATAAAACAACAAAAAAAAAAAACAACTAATTAATGCATGTTGGCTAGGTGGGTGGTTCGGCTGATTTTCAATTACAACTTATTCTTTTAGCTATTACATGGGCTGCGGTCCCATGACAAGAATGGATCAGACATGACATAAAACAAAAAAAAAAAAAACAACTAACGAATCCTTGGGTGGTTCGGCTGATTTTATTCACACATGTCCATTCAAGTCCAGAATTAATAGCAACCAAAAGCTGTTCGACTTAGCCTTTGTGATAAAAGAGAAGGTTTACAATTTTAAAATTTTAGATTTAAATTTTATTATATATAAATTTGATTGTTTAATTAAATTATAATTTATTAATTATTTATTTAATAATATAATATTTAATTATAATTATAATTTAAAAATAAAAATTTATTCAACTTTACAATAAAGTACGAATATTATCATGGATTCTTAAAACTTTTTATAATTATTTGTTTATATTCGATGAATGGTCAATTTATTTGTTTTACTCACTGTCATGAATGGTTAATTAACAGGATTTTCTTTAACATTTTTTATATGACGGTTAATTAATACACTAAATAAATAAATATTCAATAGATAGTCCTTTTATATTTTTCAATTAGCGTTTTTCTTTTTGGCAAGTCAAACAGTACTTCATGCGATTACGTTCCAGCAATTACATGAAGCAATATAAATTTTTTTTTTTTTATGAATTACAACTAAATTTTATTTGAATTTAATGCTCTTTTGGCCATACTTTTATGCCAATTAATCTTTCCATACAAAATATCTAACTTCATATTCTAGTCAATGCCAAATTTGGGCACGAGCTTAACTGATATGATATGACCAACCAAGTGTAGCACTTCTCACCCTTAATTCACCTACTCGACCTATACGAAAATTAACATATCCCCTTCACTTTTACCCAACTTTATACCCTAGGAATCAACCACTCAAATGAATATTTTGATGGCCATACTGGTCATTACACTCTTCTAAATGTTATGGTACATGCTTCATTATAGTAATGTTTAGTTGAATCTAAAACTTAACTCAATAAATTTATACAATTATTTTTAAAAAATTATTCAAAGTTTAAAATTTAATATTTATAATAATTTTTTTTATCTTATGATTTCCTTTTTTAAAAAAAAAATAAAGAATGGCTTTGTTGTATTAATTAAAAAAATAGTGGGTATCTCTCTGACAAAGACGAAAAATCTTTGGGCTTGGCAACACATCCTGTTAAGGATACCCAGCTAAAAGGTGGATCAGTAACCCAATTTTTCCAGTATCAAAAACAAGAATAGCTTTGTTGGGCCTCAAAAGTTTAATTAAACTCGTGAAATCCTATTTCATTAATATTAATATTATATTATATTTATATTAATAACAAATTGAAAAATTATTAATCTCAAAATACTTTTACATGTAATAATAAAATTACAAAGAGGGATTCACTTACCTCAACATAAATTTTTTACCCTTTTTAATATTTAAATTAAAATGATTAAAATTAAAAATATTGTTTTAATATAAATTAATCATGAATTTAATTTTGATTAAATGATAAAAAAATTATATATAAAACTTATACTAGTATAAAGGGATTGTTATTCTAAAATTATTTCATATATATATATATATATATATATATAGGTAAGAGATTCAAGCTTAGTTTTTCAAAATATCAAATTGATACAACTTGTTCTAAATTCAACTGGACTATAATAAATTCCCGTACAGCAAGAAACAAATGAAATTGAGAATCAAAGTTTATGACATTTAAAAAACGTATGATATAAAAGTTAACATTAGAGGTGGTGGTCGGATCTATTAGACTTTTTTCTAAACCTAACGTAAAATTGGCTTGACTCATTTATTTAGATATTAATCTATTATTAAAATAATAAAATATTATTTTATATTAAGATTTTAAATTAAAATTATATAAAAACATGTCAATAAAGCTTTGACTTAGTTCGTGGTAAAGAAAAATCTTAGAATTATGGAATATTAAATTTAAGTTTCATTGATAAGATTTAATTTGACATTATATTAGAATTGTATAATTATATTTTAATTGATTATTTAATCATTTTTTATACAGATTTAATATTTCAATATGATAACTTCTTTAAAAAATTTATAGAAAAATATATTTACTACTTTCTTCGTTTCAAATTGTTTTGAGTAGTATTGACTTTTTATAGAGTTCATGAAAAAAAATTTATTTTAATATATTGAATATTAAAATTGAAATTCTATAACTTTTAACGTTAAAAAATAAAAAATATAAAAAATAATTTTAAAATATAAAAATTTTTAGATATTTAAAGAAAAATATAATTTTGAGATAAAAAATATGAGACAAAGATGTAATGAATATATAATCAAACTGGACTGAGTCTCTAAAAATTTATAGTACTAAACTAGTTTTTTTAACCCGTATAATGCATGGGATTTTTTATTAAATTTTCATAATTTTAAATTTATTTTTTAATTATTGATCTAATAGACAATAATATATTTATAAATGCTAAGTTACAATTAAATGACAATTTATACATAATATATTATAAATGATACTATTTATCTAAAAGAAATCTAGGCTTTTGTAAATTTTCAAGAATTATAAAAATCTTTTCTTTTTTTAAAAAAAATTATTTTCTCCAATTCATTTTCTAAATACTAAAAATTTTGAAACAACTTTTTTCTTGTTTGATAAAAAATAAAAAATCAATATTTAAATAGTTAAGATTAATAATTATTTTTATGATAATGTTGATATGGGTATATATATTTATTAATTTGATTGAACAACAAATCACAATTATTTATTTGGTCATAACCTTTTACTTTTTATCAATTCTTATTTTTGACATACTTCAAGTAATTATTACAGAAATATGTTGAGCTAACAATTATTTTAATATATGTAAGCAAAACAAAGTTATTTTTTAGATAAAAGAGAAACTATAGTTCTTTATGTTATGCTTAAAAACCTTTTTTTGAAAATTTTTTTTATTTTTAATCATTTTTAACATAATTGATAGTATTTTTTGTGGGTTAGATATGATAATGATCATCATTCTTCTCATACTATCTATTGTAGACAAAGAAATTCAATAATAAAAAGTATAACAAAAGGAAATAGAGAATATAAGTTTATATATTAATTTGTTAAGATTAAAGATATACAATAATAAGTGTAAATATATTACTAAATTAATAGAGAATAAAAAATTTGAAGAAATAAATAAAACAAAAAAAATATAATACAAAAAGTTAATTATAATCAATCTAAGCAAACTTAAAAAAAATTATGGACTAAAAAAATAAATTAACCAAATATATAATATAAAAATATTTGACTTAGAACATAAATAAAACATTGTATTTGTCTTCACAACAAAAAAAATTTTTATCTAACTTTTTTATCAACATTCAAATATCACATATTTTCATATAAAAATATAAGCTCTTATTACTTTAAAAATACATGTATTCTAGCCAAAAATTCATTAACTTATCTAAAAATATTAAATTTAAATAAATTATTAAATAATTTTTAATCTTTGCTAGATTTTGATTTAAATTTAAATAATTATAAAAAATTATTAAATTTAAATAATTTATTAAATATAATTATTTGACATAAAATAAAATTTTATTAAGCATATATATTTAGAATTGTCATTAAATTTAAAAAGAAAAAATAAATTATGATTTAATATATTTAAATTCAAATTTTATACAAAAATTTTAATCTAAGATAGATTTTGATTTTAATTTAAATAATTACTCAAAATAATCAATTTAAATAATTTATTAAAAAAATTATTTAATAAATAAAATAATATAAATATTATCTTATGTGTCATTAAAAAAGATTATTTACTTAAACATTCACATAAATATTTTTTATTATATAATTTTTTATGTTGTAATATATATATTAGATTTGGCTGGAATCTAGTTGAACCCGCAAGCTTAAGGATTGCTCGGTCCTTGAAATCTCCAATTAACGTTAGACTTCGCCACTTTCCGTGTCCACTATATTGGTCCTGCTATTCTTTAGTGCCCCCACCTCTCCCACTACATAAGAATGGACTCACTCACTGCCAGCACATAATGGCACTTGGCCTTGTTATTTCTTATGTCAACAAATCATGAACAGAATATAATGACATGCAGAGCAATTACCAGTAATAAGTGCTATTTTTTTGCCAGTAATAAGTGTTTTATAACGATATTTCTTCAGCCATTGCAATTTTTTTTTTTACTTTGTTTTTGGGCATTTTACTTGGTCAGCTTTGACTATTGGTTTCTCTGATTTATCAGCATTTTCTAAAGCGATAGATGAAGGAAGAGACGACTGCAAGAAATTTCGTGAAAATTTCTCAAAGTCCTGACAGTTCTTCCCCTCTTGTCAGGACTATCTTCCTTATCACTCTCTTGGATAGTTAACAAGAAGCTCTTTCCACCTTGAATTCAATTCACTGAGTGATCTCTCTCTACCATACGCCATGAAGAATTTCACCCAAAGGTTCTTTTCTTCACAGAAAAAACTGTGTGTCTTAACCCTTTTCCACTTCACCTTTCTCTACAGCATAACCATCGCCTTCGCTGGTGGCTTGCCAAAGCCTTACACGCCTCATGACAACATAGCCCTTGATTGTGGCTCCACGAACAACAAAATTGATCTTGCTGGCCGATCCTGGTTTGCAGATAGCACCATCTTTTTAGATCAGTCGAATAAGGTATCAGTTATCTTAAGTTCTGTAACAAAGGGAAACTCCATACCTTACAAAACTG